AATTCCCCGTTGTCCCATAATTACATAACTTTCAGGGTAAACTTTGGGAGAAAGTTCTCTCCGTGTAGGTATAGTAAAATTTCAAAAGACTCTCGTAAAGTTCTTCAAAATGCCCCGTTGTCCCACGTTACATGGTTTACAGGGTAAATTTTAAGAGAAATATGCTATAGTAATTATACTTGGTATTTTACTAGCAAAATGTATATTAATATAATTTCAAAAGACTCTCATGAAGTTCTTCGAAATTCCCTGTCGTCTCACAATTACATGATTTTCAGAATAAACTTTAAGAGAAAAATCTCTCCGTGTAGGTATGGTAACATTTCCAAAGACTCTCGTAAAGTTCGTCGAAATGCCCTGTTGTCCCACGCTACATGGTTTACAGGGTAAATTTTAAGAAACAATTCTCTCCGTGTAGAGATTTGGAGGGAGATATATATCTAGAAAGAGAGAGAGAGAGAGAGAGAGAGAGAGAGAGAGAGAGAGAGAGAGAGAAGGGGAGGGAGACGTGGTTATCAATCGGCTATCAAAGTCACCGTCGTCCCGCGTTTCTCGCCTGCGTCGGACAACGGAAGGAAATTACCCGCGATATGTAATCATCCGCATGACTAACGGCCGCCGCTACCACGAAAGGTTCGTCACCTTGGAAATCGGCTAGCGCTCGTCCGAAGGAGGAAGTAAACGCGCGTCCGCGAGATGTCTTCTTCCCCGTTCTTAATCCCAAACACGGCGAGTGTGTACGCACATTGTGTGTACACCAGATGTGTACACGAGATACGCGCGTTTACACGGTTAATATGTGCCCTCGCGATCCGGAGTTTCGCGCGGATTCCACGCGAGTTTGGCCGTGCGATTCATACGGGTCGATCGCCGCGCGACCTTTCGTCTTGATCCGCCTTTAATTAATTATATACTTGAGGACACGCGCGAAAGAGGCCGAGAGAACGACGAGTTAAGTTTTGGTTACGCGAGCGCTTTTCTATTTTCACGAACGCAGTAAACCTTAAGCTGCACCCTCAGAAAGAACTTCTGTTACCAAGGCAAAAAGTATTCTTGACGCATTTACATTTCTCACAACCTCATTTAGTATAAAAATAGGACAATATCAAAATAAAATCAATAATTCTTGGTCTCCTCTATCGATACAAAAAAGATTGACTTACTATATTGAGACAAGAGTAACTTATAGTATATAAATGTGAATTTATATATTTTCGCGTTTACAATAAATTTTTCCTCCATCTTACAACGCACGAAGTTGGCACCGCAATATTTGACAAAAGACGATACTATTTTATTCTAGATTTTAGAATTTAAAATTAAAATATTTAAAATTAAAATATTCCTTTCTCTACAATGATTGGCGCTATATCGATCTTATTTTATCATACATTGAAGTGTAGTAGCGTTGGATCCGGAAATTTTTTCTGTGGGTGCGGAAACGTACGAAAAACATTTAAGCAGGAAGACTCAAGATTCTTAACCAATCGGAGCTTTCAGCAATGCTTAAGTTTCAAAACGGCCGCTTACGTTCTTGACTCTCGTTGGCCACTTCCCTTAAGTTTCGCTGCTCGAGTTTTCTCGTGGATTCGGGCCTTTAGAACAGGCACGGCCAACCTGCGGCTCGCGACACTTTGAAAAGGAAAAAATTGAAGAAAGAGAAGCCTGTAAAACCAATTTATTAATATTTAGATTTAACGCTAAAGACTGCCCTGGTGTTTCTTTCTAGAGAAACGAGAAACATTTTAACACTTTTAACATTGTTTCGCGCCGCGGAACGTTCGAAAATGTCGAATGCGCGAATCGAAGAAGACTGGCCATGCCTGCCTCAGAACACTATTTGCCGCGCGTGAGAATTTCATCGTTATTTTTCTTATCGCGTCATTGACAAGCAATTTAAATAACGTGAGGAAGCACCCTCGGTTAATTTTAATTTAACCACCCCTAATCCGAGCGGGATTAATTCCTACGTAAAGTTCAAGGCACTGCTGAAGGGCGCTTCCATCCCCCGGACCTTTTACAGATCGATCCTCCACCGGCGTTTCGAGCGGGTCGCATTTAAATCAGGCGCAAGTCAGATATCGGCGGAGGAAAAAGAGGAGTAAATATTCCATCGTCTTAATTTTACTCGCCCACTTGCCTACGATAATGCGACGACAATTATGCAGACCGCTCGGCCGAAGAAGTCGATATCGTATTTCGCTTTGTAACGCGCGAAACGCGCTCCGGGGACTTTTATCGTCGCTCCGGAGATAAAACGCGGAAAAGAGCGTTCCGCGAGCGACGTATTTTGCCAAGTGTGCGCTTAATCGAAAAAAACACAATGCCGCTATTATCTCGAAATATATAAAAGATACGCGAGTGTCCGGCTTTCGCAACCGCGGGCCTTCGATAGCCCGGGCGTTCGTTCGCGGATTATACGAGAGTGACATTTCGCGCGTAGGTATACTGGAATTTACGGTCTCGTTCAGACAGCTCCGAAATTTCAAGATCGAGTTCCTCTCAACACGAATGTCTGATGAACCAGAGCGGGACGGCTCGTAAATAAATCGGCGCTGCTCCGTTCTTCCCCGGACTCCCTGCATTTTTCCAACATTTTTCTATACATTTCTCCGGTGCCCTCTCTTCCTCGCGGAAAAACGAGGACGACCTGCGTCTTGCTCCGTTTATTAAAATAAAGAAAAGTAGGAAAGCATCGCGGAGAAGAGAAAATGTGCATTCGCGTGAGCTTTGGCGCGCGTAATGCGAGCACAACATTAATACTGTTCTCCCAAGAAGGAAAAGCCTTAACTACAGAAACGGAGTGTCACAGTTTGTCAGGACGGCCATAGTTATTCAAGTAATTTTGTAGCTTCAGGATTCGCCCCTTTCAATTGTAATAATTAGGCTAATGGCAGAGAACAATCCGTAACTTACGTTTCTCTCTGCCTTGCCCTACGTCTACGACTGAGACAGTCTTAAGCGTTTACGGATTGTTCTCTGCCATCAGCCTTAGGCGACAATCAGGTGAATTTTGTCGACATTACTACTGTTTTCTTTCTGTGCGTCAAGTTCTGCGAGCTTCCGAGTCAAGCTGGTATTTTTGTTAGCAACTTCAGGCATTTCAAGGTATTGGGGGTAAAGATTAGATAAAAGGGGGTCTGCTTTTATCTTGAAAAAAATTTTTTTTAGAAAACGCCCCGAACGTAAAAGCGGGCGTAACGAGCGCGCGTAACTTATTTCCAATTTGCCTGGAGTCGAGGCTCCTCCTCCTCCTCCTCCATCTCGGTGCAATCTACACGCGGCGGAGTGTCCTTTGTGCATAATTATAATTAGCGTACGCGCGACGCGCAATTAGCGCCCCGGGTCCTCCTTCCGAGTATCGAAAATAGCGTGCTAATGATCGCGCGGGATCGGAGCAAGGTCTCCAGAAAGTCGAACATGCGTGGAGCGAGGCCTGTCTCCCTTTTCCACACATTGTGCGCTCTCTAACCTTCCTACGCGATTCCCCCTTTCTTCCCTCCCCCCCTCCCCTCCCCCGCCTGCCCTTTATCGAACGTCTGAATGTGTGTACCCTGCGCTGCGTCCTCGAGCGCAGCCCAGCATGAAAGACACAACACGGCTGGAAAGGACGGGGCCTCCGGATTCCGATATCCCTCTCTCTCTCTCTCTCCCTCTCTCGGGGAAGGGGGGGGGGACACCGCGCGAT